TTTGGGTCATTGTCCTGTTGGAACCAAAATGACGTGGATAAGCCCAAATTATCTGCACATTGTTTCCAATTTCTTTTTAAAATTTTTAAATAACCCCATTTATTCATTGTCGGTTCTATAAATTTCAACTGACCTGCACCATCAGCCACCATGCGCCCCCATATCATAACTCCACCACCGCCGTGTTTGACTGTACCAACAAGATTTTGTTTCTCTAACGCTGCTCCTGATTTCTGCCACAAAATTTGACGACCTTTTATACCAAAGATGCAGAACTTGCTTTCGTCTGAAAATATCACTTGTTTCCAGAACTCTGGAAGCTTATTTATGTATTTGTTTGCAAATTCAATGCATTTCAACGCATATTTTGTCTGTTTACAAGTGAAATATACGGTTTCTTTCTAGCGACTCTACTACGATATCCAGCTTTATGTAATACTTTCCTAGCAGTCTCCGCACAAATGGTTTTTTTAAATGATTGTGTTATATATTTCACAATTTTTCAAGAAAAAATGAAAGGCTTCAGCTTTATCATATGGACTATTTTTCGTTTTTCTCGGACTGATAAAACTTTTGGACGCCCAGGACGCGGTTTAGATGTTAAAGTTCCGGTTTTTTTGAAGTTGTCCACTACGCGCTGGATTGATGAATACATTCTTCCAATAGTTTTACCAATTTTTCGGAAACCTTTTCCATCTTTCCATAGTTTAATAATTATTTTTCTTTCGTACACACTAATTTCTTTTCCCCTTGATTCCATACTTTAAAATAGTTACTACTTAAAAATTAATTGATCACTGAGATCGGTAAATGTTCAATTCAAATATTAAATAATATCAAATGAGCAAAAATAAGACCAAACTGCTTAAAAATTAACGGTAGTTTCTAAACAAACAAACTGTACGCAGACTTTATGGGGCCTATTTTTACATGCAGGCACACTTTTATCCCGTTATCTCTGGAATGAATAGTCGAATACAATTTTTGTCTTTTGCTATTCAAACTTAATAATTCAATGAATAAATATATGTAAAAATTTTAATTAAAAATATTTATTTATGTTGTGTTTCTTTATCACATATCAAAATTCGTAAGGTGTACGCAGAGTTTATTGGCTATGCGTATCTTAAATGCTATTTTTGACACATGTTTTTTGTTGTGTTGTGTGCAATATTAAATATAGAAATTGTACTAAAAATTAATTAATTAATTAAAACTAAAAATTAATTAATTAATTAAAACTAAAAATTAATTAATTTAAATAGAAGAGAACAGAATTAATATTAGAAGAGTAACTGTAATCATTTTTATCATATGTATATATTAAAATTAATTTATTTATGTGTTTGAATTTATTAGTAAATTAAATGCTCATATGTTTTTAAGTGATGGCTGGAATTTTGCTACATATTTCCAGTGAACATTGACAATAGACATATTATTGAATTTGGCTGCACTGAAACTAACCACAATTTTTTGCAAGTAAAACCTAATTTTGAAAATTTTAAGAGTATTGTTATTGCGCTTTATATGTTTACTTTTGTAAGTTGCGAGTATTTTTTTACTACTCTGACAAAAAAAAATGGGGTTTATATATAAACCTTATTTTATAGTCTCACATCAAGTGTTAAAATCAAGTGAAAAATAAGTACATCACTCTAACTGAGCGAGGACGAAAATGTAAAAATTTATAGTTGCAAAGTTAACAAATTGTATACCAATTGTTAAAGGATAAAGAATTTGTTCATTATTTATAGAAATTAGAGGACGACGAGGCTTCAAATACATTCGTGCTCAATTTATAAATTTAGGGATTTCTTTTTAAAAATTCAGCATAAATCCGAAAAAAGTGAGAACTATCATATTTTTGTAAAATTCAAAAGAAAATTGAGAACCCTCATATATATATAAATTTAATAAGCTCTTATTTATATTATTAAACCAGAACAACTGGTGTGATCAGCCATGCGATCATAATAACTTTAAAGTGTGCAATAACCTTCTATAATTTTATTTTTATTATTATTATTTTATTATTTTATTTAAAATAAATAACATAACATAAATAATGTGTGCTAAAACAAATAATTAAATTAATTAATTAGATAAATAATTATTAAATAAAAGACATATGATAATAACTATTTTTAATGGATATAATATAAAGCAAATGTAACATAATTATTATTCTTTGAGTTTAATTTTAAAATGTGTATGATAATGTGAATGATTTTTGTTTTGTTTAATGATAACTGTTACGGTCCCTGATTACTATTATAGTTACAAAAGAAGATGCATTTTTCTATTAGTTCTTTTCATAAATCGACATCAGTATAAATATATTGTTAGGTATATTTCTAAATAAATATATGTTATATAATATATAATATAATATATAATATAATATATAATATAATATATGATATAATATAATATAATATAATATTATATAATATATAATATAATATAATATATAATATATATTATATTACAGTAGCGAGGCGTCAGCTTTTTGGCAAGGTGTTCACAATTTAATCAAAACAGAATTCCAACTATAACGTATTCCCCCTACTTCTAAGTTTTGTCCTTTCCGCAAGCAAATGGCGTACAAGATCAACAAAACAATTTATTTAAATGTTCGCAGCCTGTGATCCACTGGTTTTTATTTACCATAAAGCTGTAGCTGTAGCAAAACGACGACTTACCATAGATTTCGACATTTTTACAACAGGTATTAAATTCTTCATATCTGGAGTTGGTTTATTCATTTTATGAATTAAAATCTTTTTTTCAGAAGATCGTTTAAAAAAAGATATTTGAATCAAATCTTTAATCACACATTTATCCATTTCTAAATATTATTTTTCACTTCAAATTTCTTTTATTTCTTTCTTCACTTTTACCATTTGCTAGTATAAAATTGCAATAATGACTTTGTTTTTGGTTTATTTCCAACCTCTACATAAGAGTAAGAAACTCTCATGCATTCATTTACTCTTTTACTTTGTATTTACTATGCCCGGTTCAGTTTTTTACTGAACCATTTGCCCATATAAAACAGCAACCGTGACTTTGATTATATTTGCACGCTTTGTATAAACTTTTGGTTCAGTTTAGTGGAATGATCCTATCGTCAAATGTAAAGTGATTTTCGATCAGTCATTTCTTTTCTCTTTTGTATTTACTTTGCATAACATTGGAAGTGCACTTTTTTTATTGAACCGCTTGCACGCATTAATTTAAGAGTTAAGATTATTTTACGTACATATATTTGTTTGTATGTTTTGTGTTGTGTATTCAATATTGAACATAGTCTCAATGTTAATGTTATTTTATTTGCATGCTTTGTAAGCAACGTGGTGCAGTTTTTATTCTGAACCTTAGTATATTTCAAGAGGAATGTGTTTTCTCTTTTATTAATTATAAGCAATGTTGGGTGTATCTAACATATGTGTGATTTTGTTTGTATTCTACGTTTTGTGTTTATGTTAATCTGTTTGGAAAAGCTATTATAAAAAATGTTAAGTAGCAATATAGCGAGATTATTTACCTAATAAAAAAAAATCTGAAAAGGAAGCTTTATTGAGGTGTTCAGTGAACAATCTGAACCATTCGACGCCTCGCCTCTGATATAATATATAATATATAATATATAATATATAATATATAATATATAATATATAATATATAATATATAATATATAATATATTATATATATATATATATATATAATATTTAATATATATATATATATATTATATATATATAATATATATATATAATATATTATATAATATATAATATATATATAATATATATATATATATAATATATAATATATAATATATAATATATAATATAATATTTATATATAATATAAATATAAGTTATATAATATAATATATAATATAATATAATATAATATAATATAATATAATATAATATAATATAATATAATATAATGTAATATAATATACTATAATATATAATATATTAGTCATTTGCGACCACTTTAAATGCCATATCAAATGATTCACTTCAAATCAGTGATTTGAAAATGTTTACATTCGTTGTTATTCATTTGTTCTCGTTTCAAAAAGCTGATTTGTCAACGTATATTTCATTTGAAAAGTTGTGATTTATTTTATTTATATTTATTTGTTAAAAATGAAGGTTCACTATAAAAGATTGATTATTGCAAAACAATTGAGTTGTTTAGAAAAAATAAAATTTTTTTTTAATAAGTTTTCGCTGCTCATTGCTTCAAACAATCCGAAATATTTGTTTACCTTTTTTTTTTTAATATGCCAAAATGTCATGAAAAGCTTTTATTTAAGGAATGTTTAATGTATTAATTTGCATTTGGAACGTATTTGAAACTCGTTGGAACCTATTTGTACAAAATCAACAAATGGAATTCATTTGCGCATTTGAGGTATTGTGTGCAGATATCAGTCAAATCAGTAACTTGACCCATTGTAAACATTATGTAACATAAGTGTGTTGTATAAATGGGTTTCATACTTAAGACAGCAAATATGAATTTGCATATGGGCCAGCGAATTCATTATGCAATTGTAAGGGACAATTCTAGGCATTTATTCTTACTTAAACAATTTAACTAAAACGATCACTGTATAAGCAATTGTTTAAAAGATAGATTTATTAAAAAGAAAATATTGCTCCAACTCAGCTTGAATATGTTTTAAAGAGAAAAAATGTGGAATGTTTAAGATAATTAAAAACTAAAAAAAAAGTGATTCTAAACAATTACTTTCAACTTATAAGTAGATTCAATATAAAATATAAGTAAACGGAATTATCTACCGATACTTGACTTTGTTATTTTTTCCAGTATATCAATTAAAGTTAAATATATCTAATCTGGTGTTTTCTTAACCATATTGCCCTTTTAACTTTTTTATATTGGTATTCATGATATGCAAACAATTTTCAAAATAAGAGTAAAATGTGAACATTATGTAATAATGTTCGTACGAAGATGTATAATTAATGCATATGCGTAAATGTGTTTGTAGTCGCAGTATTAAAAGAAAAGTTTTAGCGCTTTATACTTATAAGAGATCAGAAATGAATGCCCAACACACGCTGGCTATGTTATGCTTTCCCCTCTATATTTATTAAAAGCGTCAAGCTTAATATTTGTTGAACAAAGTTTAGGTTACTTAAAACAAATAGTGAGTGAATAACTTTAGACGTGTATCAAGCTGCATTACAAATGGTTATCGCACGACGTCCACCGTTTTATTGATAACGTATGAATTTATATAGATTTTGTATTTACGAAAAGTTATTGTAAAGCAAGCATAATATTATGTGGAAATTAAAAACAATAAACGTAAACGTAAAAAGGAATTATAAAACAAATACGTTTGGATCTGAATTAAACAAAATATCAAAAGTGTGATACTCCAGACTTCTCCAATTTAAAAATGTTCAAATATAAAGTCGCATACGCAGGTAACCATAGTGTTGTGAATAATGACGTTATAAATGAAAAAAATTGCTTGAACAGTGGTAATTCACCCAATGGATCAACAGCGTTATTGAATGAAATATGTTCAACACAAAGAAAAAATAAACTTTCAATGACCCATAAAAACTCAACAAAGTTAAAAAATGTGCTAAAAATTGAAAATACCGTATCTCGAAATCAAGGGCAAAATAGAAATGATAATGTGAATATTACTCTTAAGAGAAAAGAGAGAACTAACTTTCACAAATTTAAAAGTAGAGTGTTATCAAAGGATATCATTGATAAAACTGATAAATATATGTGTAAGTGTTTAGATCGAATACGAATTTGTGTGTTATGTATGCAAAAAGGTAATTTGATTGATATTGTTTATAGGAAAGCAAATGTTTAAATTGTTATAACTACTTCGGTTAGTATAGTAGCACATAACTGTTTTTGGAAAATAAATTTTTAAAATTTAAGAGAGAGTTCAATAAGATACATTTCGTAGTCGAAATTTGAAATAAATTTTTCGGCGAATACAATATCGCCTCTATTTTTCATTTTGCTGCTGATTCGTTTAGATAAAATTTTAATATAGAATCAAAAAGTAAGAATAACGTTTTTTTTTACAAAACAAATGTTCATTTATTAACTGTCTCTTGCCTACTGTATCTTTTAACGACTATGTTTATATGAAGGAAAATGTTGACTTATTTTATAAAAATTAAGTAGCGCATGCCATATATAATTTAGAAGTCAAAATTATGTTGACTTATGTAAACTAATGTTATTCTAATTCAATCAAATTATTTATTTATAATTGAAAAAAAAAAATGTGATAATTTATTTGAAAATATAAATATTTTTAGCTATGCCTTGGTTTGGTATGGATATCGGAGGAACTTTAACAAAATTAGTATATTTCGAACCAAAAGATATAACTGTCCATGAACTTGACAGAGAAGCTGAAGTATTAAGAAATATAAGACGATATTTAACGAAAAATTCTGCTTATGGCAAAACTGGACATCGGGATACACATTTACAGGTCAGAATTTTATTATTTTTATGATAAATTAGGGAAAACTGTAACAGTATTAAATACCATTTTTTTTTTTTCAAAAAAGGTTTTGTATGTTATACATATACTTTTCTATAAATTAAATCATTGCTTTAAATTAATAACAATGATGTGGGTATATTTGTATTTTATTATTCGCTTTTATTTCTTATAATAATTGCACAATTTTATTTATAATAATAAAATAATATTGAAAATTACTAAATGTATAATATGTTTATTAATTAACAATCATTAAGTTTTATTTATTCATTTACAGATTTCAATATATCAGGTACCATATCTCATCCTAAAAAGCTTACAAATGTACAGCTTTATATTATCCGACTTGCTCATAAACACTTTAATTAAATTATACAATATAATGTTGCTTATTGCAAATATTGTAAGCAGTTGCGTCGCTTTCAGAAAATGAAGAAAAAGCACTCGCTCTGTGTTAATTTCATGTAACCTTCAACAGAATAAAAGGTTAACACCGCTCTCTCATTACGGAATTTCATTACGTCGTTTTCTTAATTTCGTTGAAATAATTCGCTCATTATAATACATTTCAAGCCTTTTAAATAATTTGCATTAAAACTGTCCGAAGTGTCTATAGATATATTCACTTTAATATGCAGTGGTGAAATTTATTCTTGTATCGAAGTTGTTGACTTTTATTTCAATACATATAACGTTCAAGCTATATATACATATAAGTAAAAATGTATTTGCAAACGAATTTCAAGAATCACGCTGGAATAAATGACCTTTGATTAGAGTAATATCAGAATAGATATTCATTTTTTTCCAAAACAAACTATTTGACAAACTATTTAACAAACTATTTCCGTTTTTCGGGTACATGTCACCACATAAAGTAGAAGTTATCATAGTTAAATGTAGATTACATATAAGCAAAAGCAAAACAGTGCCGTATTATGATGCCCACAATATTTGAATACATTTCTTCTATGATGATTTATGTATGTATATGGACATTAAAATATTGAACTAATTCTGCTAATATTACAAATATGAAATTTAATAAAAAAAACGTTATTATTTATTTGATAATGTATTAACAATACGATAGTATCAAGCTTTTATTATTTGTTTTTTATTTTGTATTTTCATAATTAAATATATATCAATATATTTTTATATATGTAAAATCTATTTAATAAACTGAATTTAGCTTTTTTATATCAAAACATATAATTAATAATTTTATACAATTGGATTTTCGAACCGTCAATTTAATAATAGGCCTTTTCCGTGGCTCGCAAGTATGACAAAAAACAGCAAGTTGCTACTGACCTACACTGGCCGAAAAGTACGTAAAACTCAATCTAGGCCAGTAGTTGTATGCTGGCCACACACTTCGTCCAGTAAAGAAAAAAGCGTTACCAACGCAATAAGCGAACTTGTGAAATTTCAGAGGAAATTCCAATGAATATTACAATATGTCAAAAATCATATGTAAACAAATTTCAAAAATTTCATAAATTTGTAAATTGGAAAAAAAAAATTTTAGTGTTTTATTTTGAAATTTTCAATTTAATTCTGTATTCATTTTTATTTTCAATTTATATTTAATTACATATTTATTTTTATACAAAATGTAGTTTGCTTGCATTATGTATACATATGCAAGATTTGCTATTTGACAAAACATAACACTTGACAGATTGCAACAGTGATGCCAATGTCTCGCTTAGCGAGTATAGGTCACCACGCATTTTTTATAACACTTGCGAGCTACCGAAAACGCCTAATATAAACTTTGCAAGTTTAAATGTACTTTCTTACAAAGTATTGTAAAAATACCTTAGTTGGTCAAACAGTTCGCAATCAACGCAGTGTTACACGCTTCAGAGTAAGAAAAACAACACAGCATTTTAACCTGTTATTGTTGTCATAGTTTTATTCTACTAAAAGTTTTCAACAATTTTTTATAAAATACATATTGAGAATACTTCATTCTGTACTAAATTGTTTTCGAAAATCAGTGAACGCTATGTATACTGCACTCCGCAGTTGTTGCATTCTTCTAATATTATGTTAATATTGTTTATAAGGTGAACCCGTAATCGTAATGATATTAACACAACTGGTTTGATCGTTTTGATGTTTAAAGAGTCTTATCTTGACAGCTGCTGATATTCTTGTTAGTAGAGCATGATGCCGTTGTAGTTGTTGCAATTGTTTAAATTGTCTCTTTGGGCAGTTTTCGTTAGATTCCTTTATTTCATCAGGTTGATGCGATTTTGTCTTGCAAAATTTGGTGTAGTATTGGAATACGTATGTCTGCGGTTATTTTGGGATTTGCTGTTATATCTTTTCTGTTTCATATATTTTATGAATGACGTTAGATTCGCTACATTTTGTAACTTTTATTTTAGCTACCACTTTTTGTAAGTGCTGGGGGTCTATTCCACAACTGTAGAAAAAATTTTGTGTAACACGTAAACGAAAAACTTATTTCTCACCGCAGTTTACACTTTCTTGTAAAATGGTATTCCTCAAGTGCTAGTGACTTTTTTGGTGCTGAATTTAAAATTATTTGTATTTACACTGAATAAACTCAATTATTAAAAATAAAGAAATAAACAAAATGGCAGACATTTTACTAATTATAATGCAATTTTATAATTATTATTATATTAAAAATTTTTTTCTTTTATATTTTTATAATTTTTTTACAGTTCTTATAAGTTTCAAAATTTTATTATCGTTAAAAATTCAATATTGATATTTGAGTACAAACTTCTTTTGCTCCTTTTGCTTACTTTTTACTTACACGTTTATATATTAAATTTCGCACAACATTTTCTGTTTCTTTAAAAACTCACTGTCAAATGTACGATGAATAAAATTTGAGAAAAGTGTACACTTTTTGACAGATAAACTCAATATTCGCAGTTGAGGAATAGCGAAATCAAAATGTAAGCAAATTTTTGTGTAAACTTCAGTTTGTAAACTTACGAAGTTACATAGCGAGCATAATTAGTTCTGTTTACAGTTCCTGTTCCGTTGTATTATTTGGTATTAAAGGTTAATGGTTGCTTTTGTAGATATTGAAGGGGCCTTCAACAATATACTCCCGAGTGCAATAGTAAGCGCGATCTCGCGTCTGGGTGTTGATGATGCGCTCATTGGCTTTATAAATCAGCTGCTAACTGGCAGACTCATTGAAGCAACGATGGGCTCATCAACGGCACGCAGAAGGGTAAATAGAGGTACCCCCCAAGGAGGAGTACTCTCCCCTCTCCTTTGGAACATAGTGGTGAATGAACTGCTAATACAACTGAAGGCGGAGGGATGCGAAACTATTGCATATGCGGATGATATTGCGATAACAGTCACCGGAAAATATACTACCACTCTTAGGGATATTCTACAAAATGGTCTTAATATCCTAAACAATTGGACATAAAAATGTGGCCTTGGGGTGAATCCCAATAAAACTGAAATCGTAGTTTTCACAAGAAAACATACGGTCCCGAATCTTTCTCCACCCTCTCTACGAGGTTCTGTGATACATGTGAAGGAGGAAGCCATATTTTTAGGTATAGTTTTCGACAGGAAACTCACTTGGAAGAAAAACACTCTAGAGCCCGCAAGAAAAGCCAATGTTGCGCTTCTTCTATGTCAGAAAGCTATTGGTAAGAAGTGGGGTCTTCAACCTCGCATCATCCATTGGCTACATATAGCTGTTATTAGGCCCATATTGATGTATGGTATTA